AATTCATGCAGTGAATATAAATCAAATTTTTCTTTGGTTTGAGTTTTCCCAACCTATTTATGATGGTGATCGCAACAGAAGATCATGGTGACCAGTTGTCAAATCAGACATATTGCATCTTCATGGAATAAATGGCCTTGATATGCCAAATCACTCTGGCTTTCTGTTTCTTCATGGGGTATGTTCACCACCAAAGCTTCAGAATCCTTTCTTTCTTTCTTTCTTTTTCTTTCTTTCTTTCTTTCTTTCTTTCTTTCTTTCTTTTTGTTTTGTTTGTATGTTTGTTTGTTTTAGAGATATTTTTGCTATAGGGCACGTGTGCTTGCTAGAAAGACAGAGAGAGACAGAGAGACGGAAAGTGAGAAATCATCCCAGATGGAGGTGATTTCATTCTCCTCTCTTGGGCACATATTCACAGGTGCCAGTGTGAGTTTCAAGCCTCTATGTCCAGGACTCAAACTTGTGTTCAGTTGGAGTCCAGCAATATAACCATTATGCCATCTGCTGGTCCTCAGAATCTTTTTAAAAGTCTGAAATCTTCTCTATTAAAAAATTTGACAAAATCTTAGTGTATATCCCTCCATAAAAATGATAGCTTCATGTAAATTTAAAATTGATCTTAGAAAGGTAGAGTCAAAATTGGGAGAGACCAGAGACTTTGGTATATTAGTCAGGGTTCTCCAGAGAAACAGAACTAATAAGCTATATATATGTAGATATGTAGGAGGGACTTTATTGTGGGAATTGACTCGTGAGCCTCATTAGAAGGCTGAGAATTCCCACAGTACGACACCTGAGAGATGAAGAACCAGGAAAGCTGATGATGTAATTCAGTATGAGTCTGAAGTCCCAAATCCCAACAGGATGGAGAAGTGAAGAAGGGATTACAGTGTGACCATGCTCCATTGAATAGTGGATTTTCCCTCTCCATTTCACTCCCTCTCTCTCTGTAAAGCGCACGCACCTTCAGCAGTTAACTGCAGAGTGAAAATAAGTATTATACAGTGTATTAAGGTATTCTGAGAGAGAATCTGCATTCACTTTTATTAGGGTATATGGTTAACATTTTTCAATTTTATTATGAGATATTGTTGGTGGTCTCTTACTGTGCCTAGTTTATAAGTGAAACTTTATCGAAGGTACTTATGTACAGGAAAAAGCACCAGTACAGGCTCTCTTAGTACCCATGCAGGATTGGATCCAGGATACCTGCAGATGCTCAACTGCCTTGTAAAACGGTGCAGTGTTTGCATATAACCTACACATCCCCCACATACTTTAAATTACCTCTACATTATTTATGATACCTAATGGAAATGCTATGTAAATAGTTATTAGTCTATATTGTTTAGGAGATAATATGTTCAGTACAGATACAACAAATGTTCTAAAAAATATTTTTGATCCACAATTGGTTGAATACATCATGTGAAAGTCATGGATATGGAAGGTCCACTGTATATATAGAGCTCAGTACTATCAGTGGTTTCAGGCATCCACTGGGGGGGGGTCTTAGAATGTACATATATATCTATACACAGACATACATGTATATATACACACAAGCATGAACAGACATGTATACATGCATACATACACAAATGTGTGTGTGTGTGTATATATATATATATGGATGGAGATTTTATATATAAAATCTACATGAATCTACTGAGGTATGTCATGAATAAGTTCTTACAATATGTTAAGTTTTTAAAAATTCCATTACAGGGACCAACAGCTGGCATAATGGCTATGTCGCTGGACTCCCATGTAGTCGACCATGGTTCTAGTCCTGGACCCACTGGCTTAAACTCATGCTGGGAGCATGTGCATGCATACCCAAGATCCCAAGAGGAGAATAGAGGAGAAGGGACTGCAGCATGGCCATTCCTCCTGGGGTGGGGGGGTATTTCTCACTTTCTGTCTCTCTGTCTCTTTGTCTTTCTGGCAAGTGCACTCACCCTATAGCAAAAACCTGTCCAAAAAAAAAAAAAATCCATTACAATTAAAGATGTTTCTAAAAATTTGATATTACACAAATAAATTATAGATGAGGGCAAAGTGTCTAATGATTTTCTGTAACATTTAACATAGATTGTATACTACAAGTGGAAAGGCCTGTTTCAAAAGTTACAATGTTTTTGAAGCATGCTCTAATCTAAAACTGGTAAGTTTGGTTCACTATTTAAATCACACTCGCTAGCTATCAAGCAAGACAAGGAGTAACTAAGTTTCGACTTAGCTTTGATTTTCATCAAATCAGCTAAAAAACCTTGCTCTATTCATAAAAAACAATTTGTGGTTGATCCTGTATTACAGAAAATAGCAACAATTTAAAACACAATCAGGTCAAAGTTCTTTAGTTATAAGCCACCAAACCAATTTCTGGCTGAGTGAAATGAAAGTAAATATATTAAAATGGTAAACGAGACTTCTCAGAATGGATGGCAGACTAGCAAAATAGCTTTGGTAATGTATAGGAATAAAATCAGCTCCAGAGACTATGGATCAGGAGGCCCAGCAACTGTGATACATCAAGACCTGCCAGGTGGAAGCCTGCCTCCTGAAAGGGACAGAAAGCCAACTGTTTAACTTCTCTTTTCTTTCTTTCTTTTCTTTCTTTTTTTTTTTCTTTTTTAAAATTTTGCCAGAAGGCGCATGAGAGAGAGGGAGTGAGACAGAGAGGAAGAGGGAGAAAGCACTACTCCCAAGTGGAGCATGGTCTCACCGGTCCTCCTTCATTTCTCTATCTTGTCTGTATTTGGGGCATGCATTTGCTCCCATGTGTTTCTTAAGCTACCGAGTCTAAGACTCACACCACAGGGTTGGCCATTCAGGATCTGACTTATTCACCAGGCCACAGAGCCAGCCCCCTCTGCACAAGACTGTTAGGTTCCCCCGAACAGTACAGGGACAGAGTGCTGATGGGAGTCCCACCAAATTATAATCTATTTGTCACATCAAAGTACCATGGAGAAGGTGCTAGGCATACAAAACGTAAGCCATGGCTACTGCACAGAGACTCAGGACTTCATTGCCAGCACGCCACACAAAGACGTGGTCAGCAAACACAGGCGACCACTCCTCACATATTCTTAAAGACCAGGAACTACAGATGCTTAAGGAAAACACGTTATGGTACAAATAGCTCATCTCCAAGAGTTAAACTTTTATAACACTTGATTTTCTTCACACCAAGAGACAAAAATTTATGACATAGTTTATATGTTATAAAACATGTTTTATTATCGTCCGTAAATTCTGAAACAGAATAGAGTTCAATGAAACTCCAGAATGATTTTGAAGGTCTACCGACCTCCACCTCCCCAAATGAAACAGTCACTAGATCTTCCAACCTCTGAGTATGATCTGCCTATAATTCATATCTGATGGAGTGCTGATTTTAGTAGGAAAAAAAATCTATAAAATTACTACATACATATTTTGACTGAATATCTAGAGGTATTGATATATTAGCCAAATCCCTAAAAACCTGGATTTTCTAAAGAAATAAAAAAGGTTTAGCCATAGTGGCACAGATGAGAGGGCACCCTGTGTGAATGTTAGGGCCACATGGGAGGCTGGGTTCAGTTCTCAGCCCAATATAAAAAATGGGCCAGGCCAGCTGGTGGCACACACCTGTGGTTAACTGGAGACTGGGGCAAGAGAATTGCAGCATAGCCAGTCCTTGTCGAAAGCACCTCTCTCTCTCTCTCTCTCTCTCTCTCTCTCTCTCTCTCTCTTTCTCTCTCTCTCTCTCTTTCTCCCCCCTTCCCACTTGCAAAAGAAAGAGGAGGGAGAAGGGAAAAGGAAAAAGAAAAAGGGGGAGACAGGGAGAGACAGAGAAAGAGGGAGGAAGGAAGGGAGCAAGGGAAGGAAGGAAGGAAGGAAAGAAGGAAAGAAGAAAGGAAGGAAAGAGAGAAGGAAGGAAGGAAAAAAGGAAAGAAGGAAGAAAGATATTTTCATTCCAGAGCAAGTTAAAGCAGTATGATTTCATTGAGATTAAATAATTATACATTTAGATATTCTATGTTTTATTTTTCATTAAATTTTTTAATTTAATTTTTAAAAAATTCACTGTAGTTAAATTTTAACTTACTAAAAATTGGCGAATTTCATTTTCTGAAACTCACCTGAATGCTCCTAAGTTGACACACATACAACTTAAGAAATACCCCTCTAGTAGTGGACTCAACTGTCCTTGTAAATCTTGAATATATTAATGTTTTTCCAAATCTCAAATCACGGAACACATGGACAACATTCAATGTGGATTGGGAGCATGAGCACAGTTAACAACAATTATGGGAAGCTAACACTAAGCATAGGTATTCCAAGTTTTCATTTGGGATATATGCATTAGAAATTAAATGATAATTGAGTAATTTCTTTCTTTCTTTTTTTGACTATCAGGTGCATGTACTCACTGGAGAAAGAGAAGAGGAGAGAGGGGAAATGAGAAATCACACACACACACACACACACACAAACACACACACAGGGTTTGGCCACACCATAATCCCTTCCCCTCCATTATTCTCCTCTTGGGATTTTAGACATATACACACACACACATGGCTGGCATGCTTCTCAAGTCACCGGGTCCAGGACTCATACTGCACAGTTAGCCATGTGGAGATCCAGAGCCTTGACCACCACACTACCTGCTGGCTCAATTAGAATAATTTCCATGTAATAGATAGAAATTTAAATGTAAATTCATAGGGGCTTTTTTCCCAGAAGGAGCCCAAGAGAGTATTAGCCATGTAGAGGCTGATCAGAAAGTGTTCACTACTGCAAAAGCACAGTCAAGGTGTGTTAGTCAACAGAACTGTTTATACTTCAGGACAGCTAAGCAGGAACCCCAGTGGACAGCTTCCACTAGGAGGAGTAGCAGAAGAAGCCACATTGTTTTACTGGCTGACATGACCGACTTCAGGATTGTCAATGAAATCTACAAACGACATTTCAAGAGCAGCTTTCCTGCTAGAGCAGCTTACCAGGTTGCTGTTTTGCCCAAAGGAAGGGAGTTGAGATAGAAGAAGTTGTCCCTGTGGGGTTGGGGGAGGATTTCTCACTTCCCCTCTCTCCTCTTCTCTCTCCACTGAGCACATTCACCCTATAACAAAAAAAAAAAAGAAAGAAAGAAAAAGAAAAGAAAAAGAAAAAAGAAAGAGAAAGAAAGAAAAAAAAGAAAAAGAAATTATTCAATTATCACTTTATTTTCAAATGCGTATTTCCAAAACAAGAGCTTGGAATATCTATGCTTAGTATAAGCTTCCCATAATTGTTGTCCAAGGACCTCTTAGAACAGCAATACACTCAGAGAGTTGGTGTTGTTTAGTCTGAAACCTTCACTGTGTTTTTAAATTAACATCTTCATTTTTACAACTGATGAAGTATAAGATTAACTAAACTATCTGAAGTTATTACAGAAATATCATGTAACAGAGGGAGTTGTCCATGAAGATTAGATAAGAAAGTCAGTTCCTGATGTTATTAATTACACGTGTGTACACCTGTATTCTCCTAAACCTGAATGTAGGAAAACAGACACTGCACAGTTACTCAAATAGGAAAAGAGAAATAAGACATGGGAAAAATAAATAAATAAATCTCTGTAATTCTTCTTCTATTACCGTGAGAGGCAGTGCAGTGTAGTAGAAAGTACACAAGATTAGGAGACAGAAGTTGCTTTGTTCCTGGTTTTTCTAGCAAGTGAATACTTGAATATTCACTAGTGAATAAATTTCTACACTTAATATCTTTAAACCTCACTTTTCTCCTCTGTAAAATGGAAACAACGACACCCCAAATGTTGGCAGTGGTTTGGCAACAATGCAGCTAGATCCACATGGAAGGCTGTGGGTTTTATTCCCAGCAAACCCCTGGGCATGCCAGGGGCAGAGGCACATGCTCTGGCTGGTGGTTCTGGGGGTGGATTGCAGCATGAAGATTCTGTTGGGGATACCTTTGACTCTCACTTCAACTCTCTCTCGTTGCCTCTCTAGTAAGAAGTGAATAAATACACTTTAACAATGTTCACTTTTAAAAAATGATATCCCCAGATACCACATGAAAATTAAGTAAGATAGCACTGTGAACACAGTAAAGGAACTTAAAAATATAAAAATATTGCCAACTTTTACACATGATTTCTCAGCTCTTCATTCAGCCTGGAGAAATAAGATTAAAAATGTCTTTTAATCTTCTAAAAAAGACCAACCTTTGATGTTGCCCTCCAGGGTTAAAATTATGGGAGATAAGCATTATCAAAAATGATAATGTCAAGTAGATATAATTCATCATTCTTATATTATTTCAAGTGTCAAAAATAATCTCTTTTTGGCCCCAATCTTAACATCAGCCAGAAATGGTAATGTCAAAACCACCATTGCACTTTTTATATTGTGCACACTGTATTTTTTACATTGCCTTCATTTCAAATTCTTATCAAATTATTGTGAATTACCATCAAGAGCATTTAGATTTGCATGAATTGGAGAAATACATTTTCCCACTAGTTGATTAAAGAAGTATGAGGCCTTGAGACCTTTATAAGTACATAATAAAGTTGTTTTCAGAGTTTGAAAATATTATTCCTGTTGAATGAAGTTAAGTACACTTCTCTAACACCTTTAACCTTGCTAAACATTTTGTCCTTTCATCTGTGCAAATTTTAACTTAAAAGGTTAGTACATATTGAAATTAAGCCCACAAAAATAAAATGATGACTGAACAAGGGTACATATTAAGAAAATAGGGACCAACAGATAGCATAGCAGTTATGTTGCTGGACTTCTACCTGGCCAATGGCAGTTTAAGTCCCTGATCCAGTGGCTTAAAAATCATGTCAGGTGTTTATGACCAAGACTCTGGAAGGAGAAGGGAGGAGAATGGAGGAGAAGGGATTGTGGCATGGCCATCCCCCCTGGGGGATGACTCCTCAGTTTCCCTCTCACTATCTCTCTTTCTCTCTCTCCCCCTCAGTGAGCACACATGCCTGAAGGCAAAAAAAAAAAAGAAAAAAGAAAAAGAAAAAGAAAAGAAAAGAAGGAAAAACGAATTGTCACCATGAGCTTCAATAACAAAAGATAGCACTTATTACATAATTTCTTTCTGATCAATAAATGTATCCCATGTTATCAAATATTTACATCAAAATCCTATACCAAATCAATTCATGAAAAGACTTCTAAATTCATTCCAAAAATTAACTCCCTTAGTCATACAAGATATGTGGGTCCCATGTCTTCATCTTTCCATTTGTCTTTTGGTATTACCTACCGAGTATCTAGCTAAAACATCTTGTTCAAAGCAACAACAGCAAATTATCAAATATATAAAAATATATGTTCTCACTTTCTTCCTTTTAGTAACAAAAACCACATTTCTGCTTGGCATGTGACCACCTGGGAAGTAGCTATATGTCCAACCTCCTTTAATTGAGTTAAGACTAGCAACAGTCCCAGCTGATGAGCCAGGAGCAGAAATGACATGTGTAACATCCAGTTCATCTCCTTAGAGTTGGTGCTGCTTGACTGTACCTTCTCTTTATCCCTTCTCACTTACCTAGAAATAGAGATGACAGAGACAACACTGAAAGCCACAGATTGAAAACATTGATGCTTGCTGCCCCCCCCCTTTTTTTAGAGAGAGAGAGAAAGATTTTTTTTCAATAGGGCTTATACACTCACTGGAGAGACAGAGACAGAAAGCAAGAAGTCACCCTCCAGGGGAATGGCCACACTACAATCCTTTTCCTCCATTCTCCTCTCAGATTTGGGGTACACATGCACATGCACCCAGCATGAAGTTTAAGCCACCATGTTTGGAACTCTAACTTCAGTCAACTATGTGGGAGTCCAGTACTTTAACCACTATGCCACCTGCTGGCCCCACAAACCCTTTATTAGGAATGGACCACTCACCACTGGACTGTTACATTAAAAAGAGTCAGACTTCTTTTTTGATTTAGTGTGTTTGGGGTCCCTTAGCTGCAGCACTGTGGCTTATGTCTTAACTAATAGCCCACTACATCATCAGCTATAGAGAATGGAATAAATGGGTCTGGAAGTTATAAGCCTAGAGTTGTCCAAGTGTGTTTCCAGGACCAGCAATAACATAATTTGCTAAATATGAAAATGCTTGGACCTAATCCAGTAACTGATTCAGAAATTCTAGTAATGAGACCCCAAATGAGGCTTATATCCCAAAGGCTTTATTTAACGCAACCATCAGAACACTAGTGAACTACTCTGTTCTGAAATATGAATAAATAAATTCTTACACCAAGATGGCTGACAGAAGGGACTTTCTAAGTACTAGGACATTCAATTCTAAGTAAAAATAGTAGCACTCCTAAAAATTCAAAATAGTGGAATGCTTAAAACCAAAGAAATTCAAGTCTACCTGCAGTAGCATGGAATGACCTGTCCCAGAACGCACTTTCCAATCACCTCACCATTAGAAAAAAAAGATATCAGTAACTCGAAAGATTGCATTTTCACCTGACATTCACTCTAAATATTTGCTCAAGAAAAGTAAAGGAGGAAGGAAGGAATAGATGGTAAAGAGAAGGAGAAAAGAGGGAAGGAGGAGGGAAGCAAGGAGAGAGGGTAGGGGAAAAGGAGGGAGGGTAAACAACCAGTAAATATTTGTTGATTACAATATAGTCTCCTATTTAGAATGAATCCATCCTAACATTAGCACTTCTTAAATGGTTGAGTTTCTGTTTAATTTCTGACAATAACAACCCAACATTCAAAGTATTTTCCCCATTTTGTTCATGAAGGGAAATTCTGTATCTTAAAGAAATGAAGAATATCATAGTAGACTAAAAATGTAAGACCATAGAATATGCCAAACTATCAAGAAAAATTCTTGGATAAAGAATTCCCTCGACTATCTTCATAACACAGGCTTACTTATCTAACCTGGTCATATAGGTAGTTTACACTTCAGGTCACACCTCTTGGACCCAGCCTCCAGTTATACTCTACGAGGTTAAGATGGCATTGCTTAAAGAGTTTCCTGAAAAGGAGTGAAGAAATTCTACCATAAATATATGAGAGGGTCATGGAGGTTCTGAGTCACTGAAATTTGAGGATACTCTAATATTCAAAACATGTTACCCAGATACTCAGACACAACGTGGTTATCAGCCTACTTCTGGAAAGAAAGTGATGAAGTTTTGAGGGAATGTTCTTAAATATTCACTACCTTGGGATCAGCAGATGGGTAATGGTCACATTGCTAGACTACCACATGGCCCACCATGGTTCAAGTCCCAGACCTGGTGGTTTGAAACTCATGCCAGATGTGCGTGTGCTCATGCCCAAAATCCTGAGAGGAGAATGAAGAAGGGATTTTGACTTGGTTTATCACCTTGGGAGTAATTTCTCACTTTCTGTCTCTCTAGCAAGCAGCAAGCACACATACCTGATAGCAAAAATCATATATATATATATATATGTGTGTGTGTGTGTGTATACATCTGTGTATGTGTGTATATACACAGAGAGAGAGAGAGAAAGTGAAGGTCAAGACCTAACTAGAAGGGGCAAGTAGGTACTATGGAGGTTAAGGCAAATGGATCCTATGTGGCTGACTACATGGTTCAAGTCCCAGACCAGGCAGCTTGAAAAACACACTGGCCATGTGTGCATGTGGGCCCAAAATCCCAAGAGGAAAATGGAGGAGAAAGGCCTGTGGTGCAGCCATCCTCTCTGGAGGGGTGATTTCCCTCTCTCTCGGGGTGATTTCCCTCTCTCTCTGGCAAGCACACATGTCTTATAGCCAAATATTAAAAAAAGAAGAAGAAGAAGAAGAAGAAGAAGAAGAAGAAGAAGAAGAAGAAGAAGAAGAAGAAGAAGAAGAAGAAGAAGAAGAAGAAGAGGAAGAAGAAGAAGAAGAAGAAAAGAAAAAAGACTTACCCACAGGCAGGGAACTTTAGGTCCTAGATATTCTTTTGCAACACGGCCCATTACCTCCTCCTCTCATAGGTGTTTGCTGGGAGAGTGCCCTGCAGAGCCCCGGGAGCATGCTGAAGGTCCACCCTCACACTAAGTCAGAGTAGTCACCCACTTACTTCCCATCCATCTGCTCTGGGTATCAAAA